TGCCTTCTGGATAACAGATATCCCATTGGACAGAGTGGAAATGCCCCACAGGGTTTCCAAGGTTGTAAATATTTTTTTAATCATTTTATTGGGGGCTCATACAAATCTTAGCACAATCCTTTATACATCCATCCACTGCGTCAAGCACATTTGTACATTTGTTGCCATCATCATTCTCAAACTCAAAACATTTTGTTTCTACTTGAGCCCTTGGTATCAGCTCCTCATTTTGTTACCAAGGCTGTAAATCTTTATGGAAGCAGATTAGCACAACTGTCTTCCAAGGAGCAGTGTGTAGACAGACACTTTAAACATTGTGCCAATAAGGCTCCTACTCAGATGGATAAACAACTTGCATAAACTTCTGGGTTTTTATTAAAAGCTAAAGTATTCCTAGGTATTTTCAAATACTGGTTTTTAATTACAGCAGTAAAAAGTAGGTTAACAAACATGTACAATAAATAGTGTATAAGCACACAACTTACTTCAGCATTATTATAAAATGTTATCAGAGAAAGACAACCTAGGGCAGTAGAAACATTCTAAGTAATTTTTGGAAGCACATGCCACACTCTGTACCTTCCTTCTCTCTGCCACCTCCTCCTTCCCCTCTTTAACGCTCTTATTCTCCTCCACTTCATTGGTCTATGCCAGCGATTCTCAACCAGTGGGTCATGACCCCTCCGGGGGTCAAACAACCTTTCACAGGGCTCCCAGTAGCAAAATCACAATTATGAAGTAGCAACGAAAATAATGTTATGGTTGGGAGTCAGATCCACAACATGAGGAGCGGTATTAAAGAACCATGGCATTAGGAAGGTTGAGAAGCACTATTTTACGCATTCATTATGAGGACTCCCAAAGGCTTGCTTTAGTTAACCCCATTGGTGGAACTCAGAACAAAACAAAACAAAAAGGACTGTTAATTCTGCTTTAGCGAACATTTCAAATATGTAGAAATATTTACATATTTGACACTCATTTAAGTGCCAAGACAGTATTTACAGTATATTATATGGAAATTTCATTAACAATGCTTATATAGCCTCAATTAAGGACCCACCTTTAATATGAAAATATTATCATGCCCTCAAAACAAGCAAGTCTTTCGATAATACTAAAAAGGTATCGCCCATTGGCATTGTTAAACATTACACTTACATTATCTCATTTAATACTAAAATCTTTATGAGGTGGGTATTATTTTCCTTATTTTATAAATGAGTAAACCTGAAACTTAACTAAGTAACTTGACCAAGGCCTCTACAACTGATGACAGAGCTAGAATCTAAACCCACACTCTTATCAACCAAAGTTAAGAATCCTAGGAGCACAAAATTGTGAGTTGAAAGACTTGACAATAGATCCTAACTAGGGCAAATGATAGAATTATGAATGTTGGGGTTAAAAGAATCCTCTCTGATAATTAATGGTTAAACAGTTTTTGTATCATGTCATTAACTTTTGCCAATTTCTGGATGAAAAGTGTAAAGACATGATAATACCTATGTAAACCCTATCTTATTTACAGGTATTAGTCATCATGCATAAAAAAATGAAAATACTAATTATAGAGAATTTATATTTTTTATGTGAAGCATCAATAAGTGACATTGTAGGGCCACTGTAAACAGTTCTCAGATGATATAAAGAATGGAATCAGAATTGCCAATTAATGTATTACTTTTAAAGATAAAAGTTAAATCTTAGGAAATTTTTTTAAATTAAGAAATGAGCTTGAAACCTGGCAAACTCATAAGATGCATTATCTACCAGCTCAACAGAATGAAAAGCTTCCTGACTCGATAGTATGTTTGTCATAGGTTCCCACTATATAAAATATAGTAGGCATCCATGATAATCTAGAACATGAGAAAACAGTCTCAAAGAAGGCTCTTACACCTTGATAGTACTGTTATTGAATCATATAATCCTTGTAAGTATATATCCAAAGTACACTTGACCAAATTTCAGTAAACAGGTCCCTGTACAAGCAATATGTAACCAACCTGTAGTGACATGGCCTTCAGAGTGATACAGATTTTTAAGTTTGCATCCTAGGCTGATTATGGAGATGGGACAAGTTATTTCTCCCGGTTTATTTTTATTCCTCAACAAATGAGAAATATCGCTACCATCTTTAGTGGTTTTGACGAAAAGTTTCTAGTATAGCAAACCGCATAAGGGGGGCAATAAACATTTGATTCTTTCTCACGTTGAACACTGATAAGTCTATCATAACGAGATTTTTAGAGTTAGAAAGACTAATTAGGCCGGATCTATTCCATTCTCAATTTCTGCACTGAGGAAGTAACAAAATGATCTAGTTTGGCGGCTATTGCCAAGACTCACCCTCCAGTGTTCTCTTCTACTGTATAACCTGGTTTGAATATTTAGAAAACCAAATGAAATACAGAAATGACATAACCTAGATCAGTACATGTTTGTATAAATCCATTTTAAAAATAAAACTGAGTATTAAATTATACTTATTATAATGCTAAGATTCTTTAGTAATAAACCCATGCTTTAACAGCCAAATCCATTACCCCAAATATTTCAAAAAGCTTAACACGTAAAAAAGAACATTAAATAATCAAAGTTAACAATTAGTGATCTTTTTATTAGAATGATAAAGTCTCACAAAAAATTTTACTAAGGAAAAATGCATTCATACAAAATATTTTACCAAGTAAAATTAGATTCAGACAGCCTGAAAAGGAAACCAAGCTTTAAAACGACCTTCTTGGCTCCCAAAACAGTGTCCTGGTAGATG